GAAGACTCCTTCCTTCTCTATTGGTATTTAGAGTTACTGGTGTGGCGCTGTGGGTTAATGCGCCAGACTGCAAAGCTGTTTGAACTGCAACGCCAGCAGTTCAAGCTCACCAGCTGCTTCTCAGAAACCCTATGCAAGGGTCGCTATGGGTCAGAACCGACTTGACGGCCCTTCACAACAACATCTCCATGAATATAGGTCAGGTTCATCAAAATTGTGGCAATTTAGCCTTGTTTCCATAAAAAAAAAAAAAAATTTTTTTTGTTTTGTTTTTTTGTAATCTTCCTTTAGTCAAGTTCTGATTATCAAGCCATCAAGGCTAGGTCAAATAGGTACTATCTGCAAGTCTGGGTGTTCTTGTGCATCTCCCCTCATTTCATATCAGCTGGATGCTTCACTCTCAGCTCTAGCCTTCTGTGGCTATATCTTTTTCCATGGGCTCAGGTGTCCCCAGGTCTCACCACACTTTGGACCAACCAGCCCTTCCTCTTCTCTCTCAACTCCACGTCAACAGGAGTCAATGGACTGTGGTTAAACTCAGCTCAATTCTTCATTGCTGCCTTTCCCCCACTTCCACTCACCAGCAGACCAATGTGGTCAACCAGCTTACATTCTTGTTCATGTGTTCCCTTTGAGTTTCAGTCGCAGAGAGGGGTTTGTCCGGAAGGACCTTGATTGTTTGCCTTGATGGCTTCCCGGCGAACAGCTTGCTTATTCTTGTAGTAGTCAGTCATGCTGGCATTCTTGTTTCAGGTTTTTCCTGATTATCTTTCTTTGAAGATGTATCTTCTGTCACCCTAGCTGTTCCAGGCTGGTCTGCTTGTCCTTACTAGTAGGAATGTCCCATCTCAGAAGGTTCTATATGGGGTTCAGGATTCCACCTAAGGTCCTATACTTTGCAAAGGCTTTGCAAAAGGGGCCTATTTCACAGGACAAATTCTAGAACCCCTTTTAGGTATTCCAATCAGTTACAGGCTGATGATGGGCTTACAAGTTTTCTGTAATCATGTTTCCCAACATGTCTTTCTATCCCACTCAAGTGTCTATTTTACAATAGTAGGCAAGGGAAACTTATATTCATAAGACAGTCAAGCATTTTAGTATTATTTCCCCTCTTCAAACTATGTCTAGATCCCTGTATCATAGAGCCTTACTGTTCAAAGTTGAGCATGTGTCACTATTTACCTCTGTCCCAATTAGGACATGCAAACCTGTCTCAGTGTTCCCCTATCTATCTTGTTCTTCCACCTCCTCCCCACTTCTTGTACTGCCCTCCCCAACATCCAAACTAAACCCCCCACCACAACCCCACTGTTGTGGTTACCTTATATTCCATTAACTCTTCCCTCCATTTAAGACAGTCTATTTTATCCTGTAATCTACCTGACCTTCTCACCTTCTGAATCTCTGTTCCTCTGTGTTTACCTTCTTTCACATTGTAATTGTTTTGATCATAGACTGACCTCCCAGATCCTCTGTTCTTATAATTTTACTC